GCTGGTCCCAGGAAGAGTGACGGCTACTTTCTCGAGAACAGTGGAAGGAGGAGAGCCTCGGGGTCCATCCTTGCGGATCCTCTGTTCTTTCTCTTGGAGATTTGAAAATTAGCCTCTAGATGCCAAGAAATAAAGCCTCAGTGTTAATTTTTAACACTATGAGTCTTTCGGTTGGTTGTATTGGTTCTGAATCTAATAGCCTATTAAAGTAGAAGGGTCCAGCCCACTGACTTTGCCCCCAAAACAACCTCCCAAATGATTATAAAAATCTTCCTCTTTCCCCCAGAAAGCAAAAGCAAACCGCCTGCCCTTTGTACTTACCAGCTGTGAAAACTCCTCTGGCTTCACTTCCATTGTCAGGGTGAGAAAAGGGTTCACCCAAGGAAGGTCTAACAACAGAAATGCGGCAGAGAAAACTGAGGGGAGTCTTTTCTGACTTGCGAACTGGTCTTGCCGGCAGGTCCAGCTGGTAGGTCCAGACAGCAAGGCCAGCCTTCTGTCACGGAAACACAGCTGCAGCAGACAAATACGGAACTCCAGCCAGAGCAGATGGCCACGGGCAAATGTTAATTAATATTAAATGACACCAGATGATCATGAGTAACGGATATAAGGGTCGCGCTAAACAAGTTACTTCCTTTATCATTCTTTTCTAACAAGCCCGACTTTCTTCTTTGGGGATTTTACACGTTTTCATAGGTTCATTCTCCTTGAGCCAAAAACCATAGTCTCCCCAGTGAGTAAAGATTTCTAGTGCAACAGAAGAGAGCACGGCGCATCCATCACACATCTGCCCCACTCCTGCTCAGGCAGACCCGGACACAGGCCTCTGGCTCCCCTCCCATCTCCCCCATGGCTTCAGTCACTTCCACGGGCTCCCAAGGGTGACTACTCAGGCACACCTCCCCCTCCCTGAATCACAGGGTCAAACATCTACTGACCAAAAGGACTCCCGCCTCTCCAGACTCAGGCTCCTAAAATGCTAGTCCAAAGTGAGCTGTGCAACCGCTCATTTCACAGCAGACTCTAAACCCGCAAAGCTGGGCTTCTCATCTTCGCCCCAAAACTCCACATTCCCCATGTTTATTCTTTCAGAATCGCAGGCACCAATGACTCCTCTCAAGCCTCCTCCATCTATCCCCACCTCTAGGGGTCAGCAAGTTTGGAAATTCTCCCTTTACAATGCATTCATTCTATCTGCCTCTTACCCAGTCACGCCAATCACCAGCTACCCAACCTGACCTAACCTCACAGACAGCAAGAGCTTGCTCACAGGCCTCTCTGCCTTTGGTCTCTCTCTTTTGGTAATGCGACAGGGCCAGGATTCAAAACGAGGACTGACTCCAAAGCTGCTCCCTCTCTTCAAAACAAACTACAGTCCTCCGGTGCCTATCATCACAAGTCCAAATCCCCTAGTCCCTAAGTTCAGAATTTTCTAAACATTAACAATCCAACCTTAACAGATTTGTCCCTCCTTTTAAAAGGGTAACATCCCTATTCCCAATTAATGTGATATATTTCTGCCTTGGTTCCAATTATTCTGCCCACCCAAAATGACCTTCTCCTAGTTCCACACTTACCTCAATCCCACCTCTTTCATGAACTACTTTAAGCTATACTTCCTAAATTCCTATAGCAATTATTCACATGTTATTCAGAAATTAAGTACTGTTCTTATAAGGAGAAGGTCCTTGCCTATCTATACTGTCTTGAATTTAAATTCATAGTAGGGAACCCTCATACATTGCTGGTAGGAATTTAAGATGCAGCCACTTTGAAAAACAGGTTGGCAGTTTCTTAAAAAGCTAAACATAAAATTACCATTTTTACCATGGACTCCTAGGTAACTACGCAGAAGAAATGGAAACATTTTTACATTCACACACAGATTTGCACACTAATGTTCAGGCGTTATTCATAATAGCCCAAAAGTGGAAACTGAAAATCATCATCGTCTGATGACTGCATAGATAAAATGTGGAATATTCAAACAATGGAATACTGCTCAGCAATAAAAAAGGAATAAACTCAAATAAGCCACGACACGAACCTTAAAAACACTATCTGCTAAGTGAAAAGTCACAAGAGATCATATACTGTATGTGTCCCTTTATATGAAATGTCCAAAAAAGGCAAATTTACAGATGAAAAATAAATTATGCTACCTAGAGCTGGCACTTGGAGCAGTGATCTTTTTTTTTTTTTTTTGAGTCTCACTCTGTCGCCCAGGCTGGAGGGCATTGGCACACTCCCAGCCACCATAGCTTTGACCTGCTAGGTGATCCTTCCATCAAGTAGCTGGAACTACAGGCATGCGCCACCACGTCCAGCTGGTCTTTTGATTTATTGTAGAGATGAGGTCTCACCAAGTTGCCCAGGTTGGTCTCGAACCTGTGGACTCAGGCAATCCTCTCACCTCGGCCTTCCAAAGTGCTGGGATTATAAATATGAGCCACTGCACCTGGTCTGGAGCGGTGTTCTTTTTGGGAGATAAAAATGTTCTAAGCCGGGCTCAGTGGCTCAGCCTGTAATCCCAGCAGTTTGGGAGGCCGAGGTGAGTGGATTGCCTGAGCCTACGGGTTCGAGACCAGCCCAGGCATCTTGGCTGATACTGGGATGGCCATGAGTGTGCCACTGCGCTCCAGCCTGGGCAACAGAGTGAGACTCCAACTCAAAAAAAATAAGTTTTGAAACTGATTTATGGCGATGGCACCACTGCTTGGTAAACTCAATTGTATACTTGATATGAGTCGATTTTATATGTAAATGTACTTGAATAAGGCTGTAAAAAATGAATAAATCATAGTAGACTCTCAAATGTTAGCTGAGCATCTAACTACTTCTTACCTGTTTATATCTTTTCTCACCACCTCCTCCCCTGAAACTAGACCCTAAACACCTCGAATGTGAGGCTCAAGTCTCCCATTTATTTTCATGTTAATTTTGATGGCAAACTACACCTAGCCCAAATTTATACGAACGTTGTGTGTTCTTCACTCTCTGTGGATTTGACTTTTGCCTTCTCAGGCTACCAGGTGATGCCATACAGAAACATCAAGGAAGAGATGGTCCATATGCACATCGAGGCAGGGTAACTGGGCTCTGAAGTACAGCTCTTCTACTTCTTAGCTGCCAACTCACAGCAAGTTAACCGTCCTAAATCAAATCCAAATCAGGGAAGATACCAGCAACTACCTCTCAGGGTTGTTGTAAGGACAAAGTGAGATAACATGGATAAAACGTTTAGCTTGGTGTTTGGAACACGTGGAGCTCACGAAATGTTGACTTAAAAGACGTGTACACAAACCCAAGCACACCAGAGAAATCTCCCACACAGAAAACCACCGTTGTAACAGAGGGGACAACCACAGATCCACCTCTTCTTGTCATCCAGCCCCAAGAGTGGTCCTGGGACATCTCTTTTCCCTCCTAAGATAATTGAAGACTGTGTATGCCCGGAAACACAACTACTACACATTTAACACGCAGAACTAAACATTCTCCAACCTTGAACACTTAATTTGTCTGACTGTCCATCTTCTGACTCTCATCCTGCAAGGTGGGATTTCACTTCCTGGCCCCCTTATGGTTTATCAGGGCCACGTGTCTGGGTCTAAACAATGAATTGTGGAAGTGACCAGAGCATGTGTTTGTCCAACCCTCCAAGCTCTTTCCATTCCCGGCCCACAACTAGCAACAGTCCAGTTAGGGACTGCACTGTCAGCCTGGGTGAAGACGTTAGCAGCTCCCCCAGCTAAGCTGCAACAAACATGAGTGAGATGTAAACTCTGTTCTGCACCTGTAAGTTGTAGGGGATGTTACCACAGAGCTCCCAGGCTATGAATTATTTATTTTAAATCTCTCACTCAAAATCTTTAGACCCTCTATTCCCCTGACTTCTGTTACAAGCCACACTCCCTGTTCTGTCACCTCTGATCGTTTCTCCACTTTCTCATAGATGCCACTTCCCTGGCCTAACTCGTTAAGCTATGCTGTTCACCAAGTTTCGTTCTCAGCTCGTGATCCTTCTCATTCTGTGAGCTCTCCAGGCAGATCCTACCCACTCCTGATTTACCCACCTGGCTGCTCCATAAGCATCATCAATCCAGTATGCCCGAAAGAAAATGCATCAGCTGTCCAGTCCCACCTAGACACAAGATTCCTCCTACATTTGGCACTTGGTGAACAGCACCAAATTCCACATTCACCTGAGTCAGAAGCCTGGCAGTGACGCTGGGCTTTTCCCTCCCTCACCCCAACCACATCCAACCAACCAGTCTTGGCAATTTTCACCTTCCTTAAATGTATGTGTTGTTTTTGTCCAGGGGAAGGAAGTATTTACTTTTGCTTGTTTAATGCTTTTTACGGTAGATACTAAGAAAACAAATTATTTCAGGCTCAGGGAGTTTTATTTTGGTGTCAGCCATGACAATGATGCTCTATCTGAGGAGAACAAATAGTTTAGCCCACACCAAGAGATAAGACAGCTTTTAATTTCTGAGTACACAGTTGTGAAACTATGGAAGTAGCAACCTACATGTTTGTCTCATCTCTTTAGATGCTTGTTTAAGTAAAAGTCTCATTAAATTCCCTTAAGCATTACTCATATTACCATTCATGTTTAAGACAAGACTTGTCATTCACCAAGTATTTATGGCTGGTTCTCTTCTTCTTCTTATAAATAATGTAATACGCATCCCCTAATTCATCTCTACTTTCTCTACCCTGCTTGATTTTCTGAAGTTGAAAAAAGTATTCCTGGCATGCTAAAACCAGAGCCAAGGTTTCTCAACAACTTCAGTTAAACTACCTTTAATGCCCCAATCAACGTAGACCACACATGCATTATCTGCACTTTAAAGAACTCCAAGTGGCTGATGTCTTTTGGTTAGGGTAACCATCACACAGTGGTAAGTGCCTGGCAGCCTGCTCTTCTTCAGCCTCGAAAATATTCAGAATTTATTCTCCAGATAGAAGAGTTCTCACAGCAGCACACTCAGTTACAAAAAGACCAAAAAATTTTATTGCTTTGTGACAAGCCAGCAAACACAACTGAACAATTATAAACATGACACTTCTAAATTCTCAAATGAAATTCCAAGATCAAAATGTGCACCTCCACTTAAACTGCATTTGTTAAAACCGAAACCCACATTTTCTGGCAAACACTTAAGTATTCTCAAGCAGAACTGATACCTAAAGAGGCAAGTAAAAACTATTATCGAACTTACTGTCTATGTCCAATCACACAGTTCAAAAGCCTTTTATGCTTAATCCAGGCAGTGCTATTGCTGCACATTTTAAGTGACCATCCTGGGCGCTTTTAAGAACCTAACACTTTTTGCTTTCTACAAAACTGCAGAAAGAGCTGTCAAGAAAATTGTGTTAAAATTCAACACCGCACTACAACTCACATCTCATGTCTACGTCTTTCCTTATGATGGAAAATGCAGTCAGTCTAACATGGCCTGATAAAAGCTGTGGAGGCTATGCCAAATATCGTGTCATACAAACAGGAAGCCCAAATCGGTTGCTAGGCAAGAAAGGGTGATACTTCTAAATACTTCATGTTATTTTGGAAACACTAGCACTTTCCTTTCAGTGGGTGCCAAAGAACTACAGATTAAGTCACCATTTTAATAATTTCAACTCAATAGCAAGAGTTACCTGGTAAATATTCTTATTACTAACAGAAAATGAGGAAGGGGAATGCCAACAAGATTTGCATGACTTGCCCCAAACTTTAAATTTAAAACCTGACTGTTCATAGTCATCAACAACCTGAAATTTCTTACTCTAAAAAACATTACCAAATCAAACTAATTTTTTAATCTGGGATTTTATCTTTCTTCCAAAGCACAGCATTTTTTTCTAATATACTAGTCAGGGTTTTGTGTATTAACTCATGTGGGTGGCTTTATGCTCCAAGACCAAATGGCAGACAATTTTTAATTGGTGTAATAGCAGAACGTTAAGGCAGTATCAGAAAGCAGAGGTGTTTTGAAACACTAAGCACAACCCCCTGCCTGGTAGAACCAAATGATAAGATGTTACTAAATTCCTTACTACAAAAACTTTCCAAAATCCACTGAGCTTGACTTTGTAGTTTAATCCTTTATATTTTGATGGCAGTGAGAGAGAACCCAGGGCTATAACTCCCTTGACAAAAAAATTCAACTTCTGATTTACTCGCAAAGTTTAAAATAAGGTAGGGAAAATATAAAATGCGTTTTCCTTGCTTGGCAACCATTCTTTTTAATGATCTATTTTTAGATACACCTGTGGATGGATGTTAACTTGGATATAGAAAATATCAGGCATCACATCTGGGAGAACCACAAACAAGACAATAAACTTCTCAATCAGCACATCAACAGTCAGGGCAAGCAAGAAAAGGACTTTACCAAGAGATTAACATTTCACTTTGTGACAGAACTGAAATACAGAGAAGTACAGAGCAAATTCGCTGAAACAACAAAGAAATGTCTGTCCACGTAGAGGCTGTTTTTTTAACTCCCAAAAGAGTGTTTCAATTCTGATACTCACGCCACACAACTAGTTACGAAAATAAAGCGCAGTGCTCAGCAACTGGGCGTCCTAACTACCATCAGAGGCACTCTGGGCTCACCCCCTCCTGGCACCTGCTGAGTCAGCAAGACCGGGAGCAGGGAGAGCCTCCTATTTTTCAACACAAGCGGCTGCCGTCTCCTTGTTGAAGCCCCGGATGGAGAGATCATAGACCACCTCCTCCACTTTCTTCACGTCATACTTCAAGCCGTCATAGCGCTTCCTCAGGGAGTCATTTTTCAGGTTGAGAAGGCGGAAACCGGAATCCAGCTCGTTGATGAAGGTGGAGATGTGAAGGGGCCGAGCGTAGTCTCCAGCAGTCACGCTGTTGACGGACAGCCTCGACTGCAGAGGGAGAGAAATGGGGGCACGTTACCAAGAGGCTGCTCCTTAGCTACCTTCCTCCAGACCGCAACGCGAAGAACCTCAGGCTGAGACTGCTACACTGACGCCGTGTCTCAAAGTACACACAATGACAGACAAAACAGGACTCTCCCTGAAAATGAGACTATTCGCACCAAGTAACATTTAAAAACACATCTTTTGAAAATTTCTCTTAATTTCTTAAACTGGCTATTGCAAAATGAAGTGTTTTATATCATGCAAGTGTCACTTCTACAGTTCATCGGCTGACAGAAAAAAGAAACAACCGAGTAAGCAGAGCAGTTTTGCTCTCTTTGTATCGAGACCAAATGATAACATTTCTAGAGTCCACCTACTGAGCTGCAACTCCAGTCACCTAGAATGAGTAAGACAGAGAGGGCAGAAGCAGCTAAGTCAGTGAAACACTGCCTTGAAGAGCAGATAAGATTGATTCAAGACCCAACTCAAGATTCTCCATCTCCATAAAATCCTCCCCACTATTCCAGGCTTCCCTCAAATGCATTCTCAACATATTCAGTCTTAAAGACACCTCACACTGACAAGTAATAGTGATGAGGTGCTTCAAATTCACCAGTCAAGTGTCTCCAACAAGCCTGAGGCAAACAGTACAGCCTGCAGTGGGCCCCAGTATCCATTCTCTCCATCTTCCTCAGTGGAGGAGTTTTCAGCACACACACACCCGCCTGCCAGATGCCATTTTTGCTCCCCTACAGACAAGGCACTGGAATGCTAACTAGAAGTTGTATGTACCACTTCAAAGATACATCCTTAGAGTGCGAGACTATGCCCTCTTCCCAATTTCCTCCTCCTACTGGCTGAAGTGAAGATGTGAACAGAGCAACAGGTCTGGAACAGAAGAGAGAAGCTACAAGCCAGAAGTATCCAGAGCCAAAGATCAAGGAATCATCACACAAGTCCTAGACTGTTTTCCTCTAGAGCAAGGACAGGCAAAAATTTTCTTAATGAGCTGGAGGGTAAACATTTCCACTTCTGCAGCGTGCACAATCTCTGTCACAACTACTCAACTCTGCTATTAACAGCTTTTTTCTTCTTTAGGCTTCTATAGGACAATTTCTCAAGAGAGATTACTGAGATAAAGGATAAGATTAACTTAAACAGTTATACATGTAAAATGTTCTCCAAAACAATTATATGAATTAACACAGATACCAGGAACACTGTATCTTGCCACTACTCTAAAAATCATCAAAATTAAAGACTATTTTTGTCACCTTTTATGCATTCACACATTAGTAAGCATGCGCAGTTACCCCATCATTGGAGCCAACATTTTCTGATGCTTAGCACACTGTTACACATATAGTGACACTCAATGATTACCTAGTGTCGGACAGATGGTTTAGAAAAGGAAGAAGGCTTTCTGAGTGTCACTACCCATTTAAAAAACTGACATAAAGCAGAAAGACAAAAAAAGCAACCAGAAAATTACTGAGCTTACCAGTTCACTAGCAAGAATTAGAACTCCTGAGAGATAATCTTCTACATCTAGATGAAATCCTTTCTCCCGATCTGGCTCAACTAAAAAAAATAGGAAAATAAAGTCATGATGCAAATGCAATTTAAGCCTAAGAATATAAAAAGATGCATATCATTTCTCCTGAACTAAGTGAAGAAAGGATGAATCTTTTAAAATTGGTTTCTGTGTACTCAAGCAATAAAATGTTTAACTAAAAAAAAAATTGGTTTCTGAGTTAGGGGCAGTAGCCCACACATATAATTCTAGCACTTTAGGAGGCCGAGGTGAAAGATCACTTGAGGCCAGGAGTTCAAGACCAGCCTGGTCAACATAGAGCGATTCAGTCCCTATACAAAATTTAAAAATAAGAAAAAATTTTTAGGTTGGGCATGGTGACACACACGTAGTCCTAGCACTTTGGGAAGCTGTGGCTGGAGGATTTCCTGAGCCCAAGAGTTCGAGACCACCCTAGGCAACATAGTGAGACCCTGTCTCTACCAAAAAAAAAAAAAGTCAAAAAATTACCTGAGCAAAGTGGCACATGCCTGTAGTCCCAGTTACTCAGAAGGCTAAGGCAGAAGGATCACCTGAGCCCAGGAGGTCAAAGCCGAGGTGAGCTGTGATATATTGCACTTCAGTCTGGGCGTCAGAGTGAGACCCTGACTCAAAAAAAAAGCTATCTTTTAAATGGACTTCTTAATGTGTTCATACTCATGGTAACTACACCTCACTGGATTTTTTTGAGTTTGCAAGCAAATTCAATTTTTTCTTTCATTCTTCTCTCAAAAAGTAATATTACCAAGAATGGTAACTAGTCATGTCAGAGAATATTTTTCTTGTTAGAAGATGCATACTGAAGCATGTAAGAAGTTATGGTATCTATAACTAACTTTCGAATTGTTTATAAACACACATATACAGGCAAAATGAGGAGATTAAGCAAGTGGTAATTCTCAGCTGGAGTGTAAACTGGTATTCACTGTACTATCCTTTCACCTTTCTGTAGGCTTGAAATTGTTAAAAATTAAAATTCAATGCCAGACACAGTGGCTCAGCCTGTAATCCCAGCACTTTGGGAGGCTGAGGCGAGAGGACAGTCTGAGCTCGGGGGTTCAAGACCAGCCTTGGCAACTTAGTGAGACCTCGTCTCTACAATAAATAAAAAAATTAGCTGGGTATGATAGTACATGCCTGTTGTTCCAATTATTTGGAAGGCTGAGGCAAAAGGACCGCCTAAGCCCAGCGGGTCAAGGCTGCAGTGGACGTGAACATGCCACTGCACTCCAGTCTGGGCAACAGAGTGAGACTACAAATCAAAAAAAAAAATTTAATTCAAACACTAAAAGTAACATCTAAGCACAATGAGCAAGCCACTGCATATTTTTAGTTTTTGTGTTTCCAAGTACAACTAAGTACAGATCAAAAATACAAGGAAAAGTTGGGTGCAGTAGCTTGTGCCTGTAATCCCAGCACCTTGGGAGGCCGAGGAGAGAGGACTGCCTGAGCCCACGGGTTCCAGACCAGCCTGGGCAACACAGCGAGACCTCATCTCTACAATAAATCAAAAAATAGTCAGGTGTGGTGGCACATGCCTGTAGTTCCAGCTACTTGGAAGGCTGAGGCAGAAGCATCACCTGAGCCCAGTAGGCCGAGGCTGCGGTGGCCATGAGCATGACACTGCACTCCAGCCTGGGCAACAGAGTAAGACTCCAAACTCAACAAAAAATAAAAATAAAAATAACACTCCAACAATTACAAAATACAAATTTTAGGAAACAACAGAGGGTAACAACTGTTTGCACAACATTTATCATAACTATATCAGGCATTGTAGGCAACCCAGAGGTGACCTAAGGTATACAGGAGGGTGTGCGCAGATCACCGGCAAACACTACACCAGTTGCATCAGGGACTTGAGCACTCACGGATTTTGGTACAGGGTGGGGGTCCTGCAACCAATCATCCTTGGACGCCAACCAGTGAGTGTAAGTGGTTTTCTAGTTCGTTCTTATTTGTTTAAACAAAGAGAAAGTACAACAAACAGCCCTCTCCACCAAAAACTAAGCAACCACGCCTGATTCTGTAGTTCCCACTAATGAAGACACTTACTGCCAAGAATTTCTGTAACTGCTTCTCGAGTCACCAGTGTTTCTGTTTCCAAATACACAACAAATGCTGCCAAGAAGACCAAGCGCTGCAACACAAACCTCCAGTGCTCATGAAATCTGCATGAAAGTAAGCAGGTTTAGGTTGTGAGGCTGGGGCCCTTCAGAGAGATAAGTTTAGTACAGTCGTGTCCAAACAATTTAGAAACGGGATACTTTTACAAATAAAATCTGATGTGAAAAGCCAACATTTCATAAAACATTTAAGAGCAATATGACATTCATATACATTAGATGGATTCAGAATAAATTTTACAAGTTCACATTTATAACAATTATTTATTATAGCTTTAATCAGTGAGGAGTATGGTCTAATTTTGATATCAAAATTTACAACTGAAGATTATGGAAGAAAAGGGCAATTGTGCTTTAGAAGTTTAATTAGTAAGAACAAAGATACTGCTTTGAGAAAAATAAACATTTGCAACTAAAGATTGATGACAACTGCAACTATATATTAGCCTCAACAGGTAACTTATTCCTACGTTTTGATTTGAGTGTAAGGTAGCAAGAAAATTCTGATTCACAAAATTACCATCTGCAATCACTAAGCAAATAAACTTAAAACCTCAGTATACTGAGCTAGAAGCCTGAAAAAAGAACAGAAAATTTTACTGCCCCTGGATATTTATGGTATGGCTTCTGCTCTTCAATTGCAGCAACAAATTCAAAAAAAATTTCTCAACATATAGCAAGTCAAACAAAGCTTCCTGACGGCCATATCTAGCTTCAGGACAGCCTGTGTGTGACCTCCAGAGTAAACAGTCTCTAAAGACCCTGCCAGCTCTATCGTCCTACCTCAGTGCTTCAGTTATTACCTTATAGTAAGGTACTTTTTCTGTAGAGTCAGGTAGTAAATATTTTAGGCTCTGTGAGCTACTTTCACTCTGTCACATATGTATTCTTTTTTTTTTGAGTCGGAGTCTTACTCTGCTGCCCAGGCTGGAGTGCAGCGACACATCACAGCCTCTGCAGCCTCAACCTGCTGGGCTCAGGGGATCCTTCCACCTCAGCCTTCCAAGTAGCTGGAACTACAGGCTTGTACTACCATACCCAGCTTAATTTTTTATTTTTGTAGAGATGAGGTCTCACCAAACTGCCCAGGTTGGTCTCGAACCCCTGAGCTTAGGCAATCCAATCCTCTTGCCTCAACCTTCCAAAGTGCTGGGATTACAGGCTTGAACCACTGTGCCCAGTCTACATACATATTCTTTTTTATTTTTATTTATTTATTTATTTATTTTTTTTGAGTTGGAGTCTCACTCCGTCACCCAGGCTGGAGTGCCATGGCACACTCACGGCCACTCCAGCGTCGACCTATTGGGCTCCGGCAATCCTTCTGCCTCAGCCTTCCAAGTAGCTGGAACTACAGGTGCGCACTACCACACCCGGCTAGTTTTATTTTATTGTAGAGACGAGGTCTCGCCAAGTTGCCCGGGCTGGTCTCGAATCCACGGGCTCAGGCAATCCACTCACTTCGGCTTCCCAAAGTGCTGGGATTACAGGCTGAGCCACCAAGCCCAGCCCATATTCTTATTTGGGTGCTTTTCTTTCTTTCTTTGTTTTGTTAACAACTCTTTAAAAGATAAAAGTAATTCTTGGCTCCCAGAGGTAGCAGGCCCCCAAGGAGGCTGCCAACCCTTGCCTTAAAGCATCTTCTTGTGAGATTATACTACCCACCCCTCAACATATGTTGATTGACTATACATGTGTCCCCTTTTTTTGGAGCCAGAGTTTCATTTTGTTACCCAGGTACCCAGCGGCATGATCACAGCTCACCACTGCCTCAACTTTCCGGGCATAGGCAATCCTTCCACCTAAGATTCTCAAGTAGTTGGGACTATAGGCATGCGCCACCACATCTGGCTTTTTTACTTTTTCTTTTTCTTTTTTTGTAGAGATAAGGTATTGATATGGTGCCCTGGCTAGTCTCAATCCCAGGTTCAAGTGATGCTCTTCCCTCAGCCTCCCAAAGCGGTAGGATTATAGGTGTGAGCCACCATACCTGACCTTATATATGTGTCTTTTTTTTTTTTTTTTTTTTTTTTTTATGAGTTAAGAGTCGCCCAGACTGGAGTGCAGTGGCCACTCCCGGCCACCGCAGCCTCGACCTGCTAGGGTCCGGCAATCCTTCCGCCTCAGCCTTCCAAGTAGCTGGAACTACAGGCGCGCGCAACCACGCCCAGCTAATTTTTTGATTTATTGTAGAGATGAGGTCTCGCCAAGTTGCCCAGGCGGGTCTCAAACCCGCGGGCTCAGGCAATCCACTCACCTCAGCCTCCCAAGGCGCAGGATTACAGGCTGAGCCACCGAGCCTGGCTATATATGTGTCTTAATATAGAACATCCTTTTCAGTAAGAAAATGAAAGTAAGTTGAAATTCTTGATTCTTATTTATCACAGCTTTCCAATACTTAGATGTAGTTTTTCTCAGTTTAAGATCTATAAAATCAGGGTAAAGTTTACAATCTATGTTTCACAATTTTGACTGGCAACCCGTTCCTTCTCTACTGATACATAAAATAAAGGTGTATCTTAAAATTAACAGTGTTATAAATTCAATAAGATGTGGCATAAGATATTGGTTGACTATATATGTCACTTGGCAGTGAAATTCAAGCTCTGAGATAAAACTCAGTTCCATTATATATTTGTACATACCAGTACATATTACCACCTAATCTTATAAACTTAATAGCATAACTATAGTTCATCCTATTTCACACAAAACTTGAATATAGCAAATCTTTTCAATTTTGACCTTCATACATTTTCTTTTTTGCTTTTTCAATGCAAAATACGACATTCCTTGAATCATTTTTTAAAGTAAAAAGAAAAAAATAAAATCATCAATTTTGTCACCACCATTATCATTTTTTTTGTTGTTGTTACTTCTACAGAAGGATGTTTACGTAGTTTTTTGTTGTTGTTGTTGTTGCTGTTTTTGTTTTTGAGTTGGAATCTCACTGTCGCCCAGACTGGAGTGCAGTGGCCGCTCCCGGCCACTGCAGCCTCGACCTGCTGGGCTCCGGCGATCCTTCTGCCTCAGCCTTCCAAGTAGCTGGAACTACAGGCATGAGCTACCATCGCCCGGCTAATTTTTTGATCTTTATTGTAGAGATGAGGTCTTGCCAAGTTGCCCAGGCGGGTCTCGAACCCTCGGGCTCAGGCAATCCACTCACCTCGGCCTCCCAAATTGCTGGGATTACAGGTTGAGCCCCTGAGCCCAGCTGTTTACGTAGTTTTAAGCAACCATTCAGAACATATAATTTTTCTGCTTTCTTTTTAACTTAAGGTTATAAAATGATGCTACTTTTCTTACAAACCTGTAATACTGTTCAGCAGGGAACTTGGTCTTCAGAGACGTTAAATGTGTTTTTACTGTACCAAAGTGTTCTCGAGCTTTCAAACACCTCTTTGGAACTGGTCACAAAACATAATCGAACGTGATAAGAAAAAGTTTACCAAATTTCAGACACAGTTCTTACTTAATAATCTATGTAGTCTATCTGGAAACATTACAACCAAATGCATACACAGCTCTACTTTTCAACTGACTCTCTAGTTTCTCTATTGATTAGCCATACTGTTTGAAACTTAAAAAAAAGAGAGAAAGAAATTTTGAGAAAAATAAAAAGACAACCATACTGAAAAATGAACAATCCAAAACCTGATGCGGAAATGGGATGTGTTAGGAAACACACAGGTAATTGGTAAGGTGTCATAAATAACCTCATCCTTAAGGGGCTACGCACCAGCTGCTATTCCTATTCACTGCTCAGAGGATGGCTAAAATTGGACTGCTTCTAGCTTACATATAGATCAAAAAGAGCCTTTACCAATTATTCATCATAAGGATGACCAACTCCACATCAACTGAGAAAAATGACTTGCCTATGACACCTTTTCTATCTGAAAATATATTTCAACTCTTTTAGCTATCCTGGCTGCACCTCACAATGAAGTTTCCATGTCTAAACTTGACATTTTTTATTTTCATTCAAAGGGTTGACTGTAAATGCATTAATTTGAGAAAATGTTATATAGTTCACCTCATATCTGCAAATACATATTAAAAAGTATTCAATCCTTAAAAAGCTTGGAGTCAAACACACCAAAAAAAGAGTCAAATAAAAGTTACTAGATACACAAGAGTTATTAGCATCAGTAGAATTCCATCATAATGAAAACATTCCTATTTAAACCACATTATGTGGAAGTGAAAAATCAACCAAAACACAAAGAATACTGTCAATCTATAAAATGACCAAATCACCTACTTCTTCAATTTTTACTCACCATAAAGCACAATGGACATTTTTCATAATAAAACATCTTCTGGATAGAAATTAACTCCCTAAATAAGAGACTGACACATTGGAAGAAAAAAAACCTTCAAAACCAAAACAAAGAACTTACTGTCCTGAAACCCAGCACCTTGATGGACCCCTTGCAGTAGAGTTAGAATCTCTCGAGCTGTTTGTTCTAAACACTGCACAACTTTTCGGATTTCCTAGAGAGTTAAAAATCAAAATCAGATAAATGCAACATAATATTTTCACAGACTCATGCAAAACACACCAAATAGCACATTTGATTTATCGTACCTTCACATACATTCAAATCATCCTCACAAGAAACTAAACTTGTACAAAAAAATTCCCAAGTTTGGTTGAAACCCAACTTTTCCACTTATTTCCTCTGAGACTTCAGAAAGTCACTAAAAAGCCTCAGATTCCTCAGGTGGCCTTCAAAGGATAATAACTATCCACCCACCCCAACTATACAATTGAAACCCTACACAATGGATGGCAAGTACAAACGCAATTTATAAAATGAAGCGTTAACCGGGCTCGGTGGCTCAGCCTATAATCCCGCATCTTGGGAGGCTGAGGTGAGTGGATTGCCTGAGCCCACGGGTTCGAGACCCGCCTGGGCAACTTGGCGAGACCTCATCTCTACAATAAATCAAAAATTAGCCAGGTGTGGTAGTGCGCACCTGTAGTTCCAGCTACTTGGAAGGCTGAGGCGGAAGTACCGCTGGAGCCCAGCAGGTCGAGGCTGCGGTGGCCGTGTGCGGCTACTGCACTCCAGTCTGGGTGACAGAGTGAGACCCCAACTCAAAAAAAAAACAAAAACAAAAAAGAAGCATTAAATGCAAGGATTGAGTATTTTTTCATCAATTCATTTCACAAATATTCACGGAGCACATTTATGTGGTAGGCATTGTGTAAATATCAGGAAACCAAGCAGACTGTCCCTTCCCTCTGGCAGCTTATAATGGAGGAGACAAACAAATTTTGTTTAATATTAATCATTACACATGAAACAGTTAACGTACTACTAAAAAACGTAACAGGAAAAAGATCATTTAGGTTGTGAGGCCAAGGAGGTAACTGTAACTAGGAAAAGAATGGGAAAGCAACAAATTCCTGGAAAAGCAACCAGGACATGCAAGAATCCTGAGGCAGAAAACTATTAGTAGCACTAGCGGCACGAAAGAGAGAGTAAGCATAGCACACAAAGGGAGACAGCGCAAGACGAGACTGGAGAGAGACGCCTTGTGGGTCACGGAGACCTGGATTTTTATCCCATGTGGGACGAGGAGCCATAGGAGAGTTTTAAACAGAGGATCGCGTGTGCTCTCAAAATACCAATAACAAGCACCTAAAACGCGCAAGGGCCGAAGCCCGGGCGCTGAGCCTTCGACAGACACAAGTGCAGAAGAGAAGGAAAGGGACGCTCAAATGAGGCAGGTGACGCTGGGAAGCAGAGACCCGAAAGGAGTCAGGGCAGAGCAGTCGGATCTGGGGCGGGGCGGGGCGGGGCGGCGGGGGAGTCCCGGCCCAACCGGAGGGCAAGCGACCCACCCTCGGAGGCGTCCCCGTCGCCCGAGACCGAGCGACGGAGGAGGGCCGGGCGGTGCGGCCCAGCCGGACAGGGGAAGGGGAAGGGGAAGGGGACCGGGAGGGAGGGGGCTCGCCTCTCGGATGTCCTGCTCGGCAGCCAGAAAGCCCTGCAGCTCCACGAAGATCTCGCTCACAGACATGGCGACGGCCGCACGACAGTCAGCCTGTGTGGCGAGGGCGGCCAGAGAAGCGGGCTCCGGAGACAACCAGCA